AATTAATTAATTAATTAATTAAAAATCTCGAAGTCTAAATTGAAAACTGAGGACCTTTTTTAAATGTTTCGTGAACCTTTAGCTAACATAGTTAAAGGATTTATGAGAATCACCGTTTTCTCCCAGTTCTTTACGAGAAACTGAAATAGAACTTCGTTTAATCTGGCCATCACAGGGCCACCAAACATGACAAAAACTAGTCAGTCATATTTAGGGCGTAAGAGTTCTTAACACAACAATTGGCTGGCCATTTCTCTTAGCTAAATGGAAAGAAGCTGGGCTTCAACGAGGGGTTGAACGATATTATAAATTTTAACAAGTTTCCATGATTTAATTTACAAGATCTAATTGATTTGATGTAACAATATCGACCTTCTTGCGTGAAATCGCTCCGATAAAAATCCAAAGAATCCAAACAAGCTAAAACTGTTTTCCTGGGGAACAAAGCTATGTTTTGAGATAATCTTATGGTTTAAGTAAGAATTAAGTATATTAAAACTCCGATGAACTATTAATACACCTGTCATTTACTAACCAAACAGTTGACGAGCCTGGAAGTTGTTTACGCATCTCCAATCACTCCTGTCGAACATGAAAGTGGCTGCACCATAAGGGCATGAACAGTGGCATGCACTCTTTCTATGGGCGTTGAAATGAGCACAGTTCATTCCTCCTTGGTTGCACAATGAGGGAGGGATCTTGAACGAGTCTCTCCCGAACACCCATCCATCCTCCCCAAACGGTCTTGGTCTGAAAATCTCGAAATCCTCTGATATAGTGATAGGCGTCAAGTAAATCAGAATTGTTACGGTAAATTCGATCTTGAATACGTCCATTTTGCGTAAATATCAGCCTCACTAGCAAAGAATACCGTCTTGGAAAAAAGTCAGTTATCGCGTCCCTTCATCGTAGCACAAACTTCTTCTCACAAGAAACTGAAATTCAGTCCTCGATGCGTTCAAATATGTTTCTGCTTTCGATTGTTTTCATTGCACTTCGAGAACTGTCTGTTTTTATCGTACCTTGTAAGTCATTGAAGCCAATATGGGCATTTCCTCATAGCTACCAGCCAATATAACTCGTAAACACAAGATCTAACTCCCTTTTTAGGTAAAGAGCTATTCAATCAATTCACTTTTCCAAGTGTTTTTTCGTATTGTTTGCTGGTTGGGTGCATATTGCAGCAAATACTCCACCTGTTATTGCAAGGCTTATTATTTTTATGGAATTTGAATCACTCACTGATGAGCTTCGAAGAAAACTGAGCACAGTAATACACCCAGTCACAGATAATGAATTCAGTCTAGCGTCTTAAATGCACCACGCTTGCTGGTTTACCTCTATAACCACAGACACAAACACACATGGGCGTCACGTGATTAAGAAAGAAAATATATCCAAGCGTGGGAAAAATCGCTCGATTCAAACCAAGAGTTCTGTATATGACGTCAACAGCTGAAGGGCTCTTCCCAAATCAACCGACCAATCACTTGACTTGTTCCTGTCCTCTCTTACAACTGACTGATGGGCACCCCTTACAACTGTTTCATCAGTAAAAAACGTCTGGGTACCCATCTTGACTGCGATGGTGCTTACCACTTCTCACCACTTTATCCTGATGGTCTCAATGGGGCTAACTGGTTAACCACAAAACGGGACAAACATTTAGTCGTTAGGCGTAAAAAATGTTTAGCCACGAAAGTGAAAGTCTCAAGATCTCTTGTCAAACTTTTTGTGTATTGTCTTTTGGTTTGGTAGTAAAAGAAGAGTCTGGAGTCTTTCACATACTCGTCGACTGCACTCCAATTCTGAAAACACAACTACGAGATCATTTCTTCACCGCACATTTACTTATTAAAGTTAGAAACTATTTACAGTCTCTTTATCAGCTATAAAAGCAGCAAGTCTCGTCTAAACACTAGGAGGCCGGGATTCGGAGAATTCGAGACAGTTATGCAAACTCGAAACGCAATCGTGAGTTTGCATAACTTTCGAGAATTCTCCTAACCCCGAGTGTTTAGATGAGGCTAGGTAAACACGCAAAAACTCCTTTCTTGCTTTTATATAAAATATTTCTCAGAAATGCGCGCAAATCTAAAACGTCACAACCGTGTTTACATACTCTCATCTAAACACAACTATCGACCAATGAGCGCTCGCGTAGTATCTCATTTATTTTATAATAAGCAATTACCTACAATCTTTGTAACTATTTATTAGCTACATGTATTCACTATCTGTTTACAGTTTTTTCCATCTGTTTATTGTCTCAGTGTTTAACACAGTAGTCATCTCGCACTTGTTGTCGATTAACTTACTCATCGCTGAACTAAATATAGATATCTTAAATAAAAAACACCACATTTGCAAACACGATGTAACGACCAGGAGTACGATATTTCCCATACTTCTGAACTACTTTACAAATTTGTTCGTTCCTTTTGTTTTTCATGGTTTGTTTGTTTGTTTGTTTGTTTGTTTGTTTGTTTGTTTAATGGCTTGCTCGTTTCTTTTTGGGTGACCAAAAAGCAAACAAGGGTTAAATAAATTAAGTACCTTAAATTATTTTCTCCAATTTTGCCCATCCATTTCTGCTTTTGGCTTCCCTATGTTTCTTTAGAGTTCTTCACAGTTTCAAGTTGTTATTGCCATTTTTCAGTTGATTTTATAAGCAGTCGGTAAAAGCTGAAATTGCTTAAAATTGGCTGACCTAGTCCCTTACAGAAATATATATTTACTATTATACATGTAGGTATCACCTAATTCTCATACCTAACATACAAAGAAATGTATGGTATAAGTAAGGAGAGTTCATATCTGGATTTTCGGGATAACAAAACCCTCGCCTCCTTCTACAGCCTACGTAGCAGGGGTACATGTATAAAAGCACGCGGCGAGTGAGTGCGAAACAATAAGGAGCAGGAGGAAGGGATGAGGCAAAAAGATTCCTTTTTTCTCACCCCCTCCCTTCTCCTCGTTTATTGCTCACCCGTCCCCGCTTAGCCCTAGTTTTTGCTCACCCCAGGTGCGCTCGTTCGCTCGCTCGTTTGCTCCCTCGCTCGCTCGAGTCTCCTTTTCTTAAGCAACTGCGTACAAAAATGTGTTACTGTTATTATCCTGTTGCTTGGTATTGTACAATGTGTCATTAGTCGTTTCTTCTGTCTTTCCCGGTTCAGGCCCCTCCAGGACGTTATACACAGGGTCTTTTTCAATGCTAGAACAAGTCTTTTCAGTGTCTCTCGCGTCCTTTAGTAAAGGCTCCCCCAGAACGTTGTACACGGGAGTTTCTTTGTGACTAGGATCAGAGCTGTTGGGTTCATCCTCGGTTACTGTGTCAAAGACCTCAATCAGGTTATACACACGTTGTTCCACGCTCAAAGGAACATGATTCTGCTTTCCTTCATTGGAAGCATAATCATAAGGGCTGTCTGAGGTGTTAGTATTTAGGTCCTCCATCATGTTATAAACACCTTGTTCCACGCTTAAGGGACCAATGTTACGGGACCTTTCTGACGAAGCAGGATCGACATATTCATAAGAGCTCTCTGAGATGTCAGTATTTAGGACCTCAATCATGTTATAGACACGTTGTTCTACACTTAAAGGACCAACATCGCGGGACCTTTCTGACGAAGCAGGATCGACATATTCATAAGAGCTCCCTGAGGTGTCAGTATTTTGACCCTCAATCATGTTAGACACACGTTGTTCTACGCTCAAAGGAACATGGTCGTTGTTCCGTTCATCGGAACCATGATCACAAGGGCTGTCTGAGGTGTTAGTATTTAGGACCTCCATCATATTATACACATGTTGTTCCACACTGAAGGGACGAAAGTCGCGGGACCTTTCTGACGAAGCAGGATCGACATATTCTCCTGGTTTGCCACTGCATTCTGAACATAATTCGTCCACGGTACTGTAAAATGGTTCCTCTCTGTAGAGACCGTTATTATCAAGTCCTTCAGAGGTACTGGGTGCACGAGGGGAACGCAAATGAGCCCTTTCGTCTTCAGATCCACCGCCGTTAGGGACGTCGTAATTTGAACTGTATATTGCTAAACAAGAAGAACAAATATGAAAACTATTGTATTTGACTAAATTAAAACTTACAGTACAACCTCGTTTCCAAGGCCAATTTTAAAGGGAAAAGCCCGGAAATGAGGTTGTTTACAATACTACAACAGCCTTCCCTCCCCCTCCCCTCCATCTTCCTTACCCCACCCCGTCGAAAAATTTAAATGAAAAACCAATGACTATGACCTAATCAGGCTGCAATATAGCCTGTCATACAGGAGTATTTTGACGAGCGAGTGCATTTGTTAGCAGGTGAGGTCCATCCTGGATTCAGAAAACAGAGGAGGCTTGAAGTGAGAGGAAAAAACCCTCTTAGGAAGTAGGAGTGAGGCTTAATGTCGAGCGACAAGGGAGGAGCAGAGGTCTCCAAGATGGCTGTCAGGTACGCGAACAACTTCATCTAACTTTCAACCGCATGGTAAAGGCCTACGCATTGGACTGTTATGATTCCATTTACTTTTGGTAGTTCAAGGAAGGGCGTTTATATCGGAGATAGGGTGCTAATTAGGGATGGGACGTTTGTATCTTTTTGAACACATACATTTGAATGGGGTACAACACTATGCAGTGTAACACTATGACACAAAACAACAACAGATACTTTCCCTCAACAACTGTACGTAATAATAGGGTCTTTGATAGTCATAATGTTCAATAATACGTTCAGATTATAAAGCAGACATTCGTCTAGTCAGTCTACTCTACGTCAATGTCTTGAATGTTAGTTTTGCGATGGGGGGGGACA